GCAGAGGGAGTAATGCGATGGAGTGGGGAGGACTCCAGAGGAGTGGGGAGGAACGCCGAAAAGCAAGATGGAGGGAGTTTCGAGGAGTGGGGAGGGATGCTGAGGAGTACAGTGTGAAGTGCGGAAAGGTACAGAGTGGGGTGGAGTGCGGAGAGGGGGGAGGAATAGAGTGAAATGTGGTGGAGTGCCGAGGAATGCGATGGAGTGCGGAGGAATCGGAGGCTCTGGAGGGCTCCTTGGAGGCCTCTGGAGGGCTCCTTAGAGGACTCCTTGGAGACCCTGAAGGCCTCGGAGAGCCCAAGAGGCTCTTCGGCTGCTCCAAGAGGCTCTTCGGAGAGCCCAAGAGGCTCTTCGGCGGCTCCAAATGGATTGTCGGTGGCCCCCAGAGGCTCTTCCGAGAGGCTCTTCGGTGAAGGGGGGGAGGAGGCTCTTTGGAGACCCCCCCCCTTCACCGTACTCGTTGATTAATAGCCTCCGGAGGACCCCTGGCCATACTAACACCCACCGGGCCGCACTAACAACCAACAGGCCAGAGTAACACCTTATCTCCGACTCCTCCTCCTCCTCCTCCTCCTCCTCCTCCTCCTCCTCCTCCTCCTCCTCCAGCTCCTCCTCATCATCCTCCTTTTCCTGCTCCTCCTCCTCCTCCTCCTCTTCCTCCTTGCTGGGTATCTTCACTCGCAAACTTGGAGGCCAGGACCTTGTGGGGGCCTCTGGCCACGTCCAGCTCCTCATCTTTCCTGCCCTCGACTAAACTGACTAACTATCACTACTCATCCGCCATGTGTATGCTTATAGCTATAAATTCCATACATATATAATGTATATGCATGCATATATATACACAACTAGTATTACATACATGCATGCATACATACATTCGTGCATACAGACAGACATGCATTCGTTTATGTATGTACATACCTGTCTAAATATATGAATATAGCTTTGTGTATACATTCTATCCGTGTATACACAATCCCTGTGGCATAACCAGCGTTGTCGGAAAGGCGGGCACAGCGTTTTGCCTGAAACGCCGCCAAATGTTACTCTCATCAACTCTATGGCTTGTAAGCGTTACAAGAATGTGGTCGGTGAGTTTCAAAACGAATATATCGTATTCGCGCCGCTCACATTCGGCTTACATGTTTGCAACCGTCATAAGGTTGGTACATTGATGGTTTTCAGCATAAGGTGCTCTTCGTAGCGTTGCGCAGATGTGACTGAAAAACCAACATGCTGTTAAAGATGGATGGAATGGCTCCCGATATGAATCTATCGCTTGGCGCCGCACACATTCGGCTGACTACCTTGCATAACCAACAAGGCTGGGGGGGTCAGTTTCCAGATGAGGCTCGCGCCTTGGCACCGCGCGCATTCGCCTCGAAGGCTTGCAGCAGCTGGAAGGATGGAAAGGGAGTTTCTCATGATTGTTTTCTCGCCTTCGCGCCGCGCGCACTCGCACTCGCTTGCTAAAACCGAAAAACGCTTTGTTAACAAAATGTAGTCCCCGCTCTACCCCCACGCACATTTCGTCTAAAAAATGCAACGACGGCCGGAATTGAAAACGATTCGATTTCAAAATGTGGACCTTCTAACCGAATGACCATAACGAACCATGGAAACAACTGCGCGGAACGGATGGAAGGCGACTTCTTTTCAACATGTGGTTTCGCCTCAAATTCCACCAAATTACCTGACCAGAGATGTACACACGGATTGGGGGCGAGTCCTCTTCATCGCTGACTAGAAAGATCCGAGGTGTTCGCAATCGTTTTGATTGTTGAACCAGAAAGGAAGGCCTCCAGGAAATTGAGCGGCAGGCACTTGAACCCGATAGGCATTGATGCTTTTCGGGTTTCCCTTGGCCCTGTTCCGCTTCATTATCCTCCTCTTTTTGTTCGGTGTCCTCCTCCTCCGCCCCGTTCTTCCCCTCCTCCACCCGTTCCCCTTCGTCATATTCCTTCACCCTCTCCCATCACCACCGTCGTACCAACGTTAAACCAACATGCCGTCACCATAAGCATATCGCATCACGACATCATCAAGAATTCCTCACTAAGACATCACCATGATCACATCGCCGTCGTCGTCGTGATCATGATTCTCAGCACCAACATTACCAACACAAACACCATAGCCTCAACCACCACCACCAGCACAATCACCATCATCACCATCGTCATCGTCATCACAACCATCATCCCGATTACCATCACCGCAATTCTCGACATAGTCACCTTCCCAAACATGACCACCAGCAACAGCATCAGCGCCAGCATCATAAGCATCGCCGGCAGCATCACCATCGTAATCATTGCCACCATCATCGCCACCAGCATCATGACACTGACCCTCATCGCGATGAGCATTCTCGTCATTATGTTCACCCCCATCGTCAACAGTCTCGCGATCACGCGCGAATCGATCGGCACTGCCAGGTCCACGCCCGGCGCCCAAGACGGCGAAGTAGCCGACCCCAGTCTCAGAGACCTTGCGGAATGACAAGGGCCTGGCGGGCGGCAGCAAGCACGGACCACGCGGAGGACTCGGCATCCAAATATGCAGCGACAAGGCGGTCGCTGGCAGCAGCAAAGAAGGATGCCTGCGCACGAGCGGCCTCGGGAGGGCACCGAGGGCGACGGCGGCGGCGGCGCCCGAGCCTCGCAAACGTGCGCGAGCCAGGGCATCACAAGCAGACCGCCGGGCGCCCGGCGCGCACAGGCCCCCGGGCAGGTCGCCCCAACGAGCATAGAAGCGGCGGTACCTAAACGGGGCAAGCGGGGCGGCGGGGCCCAACGGACCGAAGACCGCCTCCCAATCCGAGAACACACGATCTGTCCGAACAGCGCGCGCGCTGGGCCCGAAAGGCCCGACGCGTTCTAGGCGCGGTAACGGAAGGGATGGCAACGCCAGACACGCCCAGGCGGTCGCTCGGCAGCGGCAGGCGACAGCGGCGCGCAATCAGCAACTCGCTCGGCCCCTGGAACATCGCGACACGCCACGAGCAGCAGGGCAGCCAAGGAGCCAGCCCCATGAGAGGCACAAGCCCACCATCGCTCGCTCGCAGGAGAGCGCAGGACAGGCGCGCCGAGGCTTCCACGCCGGAGAGCAGCGCATCGCCGCCGACGGGCCCCCGTCACGGGGTAGCGCCCCTCAGGACGGCAGGCCCGCAGCAGCCGCCGACGTCATCTGGACCTCGAAACCCATATTGGCCGCAGGCCTCGAAGGCACGGGCTGCTGGCGACGGCGCTGAGCGTCGCGCGCGGACGGGGGCGCCGCGGTCTCTGCCGGCGGCAGGGGGGCGCCGCCTCTGCCGCGCTCGCGGCGGCGCCCAGCAGGGCCAGCGGGGGCGCGCTCGCGCGAGCTGGAGCCGCGCGCGCGACGCGGCAATGGACCACGCCCCCCCCCCCTTGGCCCCGCAGCGACTGCGGGGCTGCAACAGCATCGCTGGACCAGCCCAGACTAACCGAGGGGGCCGAAGGAAGGATCGCCTGCGCGGAGGGGGCAGGGGCCGCAGCGGCGACCGCCTGGGTGGGTCTCGGAGGACACCGAGCGCGCCGCGGGAGCGCGGGCCCCCGCCGAGACGGGCGCAGCTGCGCCGAGAGCGACCTGCACGGCCTCCGCCGCCGCGAGCGCAGCAACAACACCGTCGACGGCGCGGCCACTCCCCCGCGGGTGGCAGGGACATGCTAACCGACGAGGGCGGAGGCGTCGCAGCGACGCGGGACGGGGCAACGACGCCCACGACCTTCGCGCGGTCAGCCGAGGCCCGGGTGCTGGAGCGGGAGCGCGCTCTCGGCGTCGGCGCGGCGGGCAAGCGCGGACCCCCGCCCATTCGCCACGAGTTGCGGCGGCGCGCGGCGGGGGCGAGCGGGCTGGCTCGCGCCGGAGACCTCGGCGAGAGACGCTCCGGGATCAGAGATTCGCACGAAGCTCGGCCTGTCTCCCGCGCATTTCGCCCATGGCCCCCGACGCCCGCGCTGCTGCTCGCCCTGCCAGCGACGGCGCGGTGCGCCTCGATTGCCCACTGCGCCAGAAAGCCGCCGACGCGCGCGAACCTCGCCTCCAGAGCCCCAGGAACCAGCGCATCTTCGGGAGAAGCGGGCGGGCCACTGCGCGCCCAGACTCCGCGCGGGGGCGTTGGGCCCCGCCGATTGCCGCGACGCCCGCCACTCCGACGCGCGGCAACGCGCCGCGCGACGCTCGAGCAGAGCGCAAGCGACTCCTGGACCTCCGCCGAGCCCCGCGGGCCCCCGCGGACGCGCGCCGTCGACCGCTCCCGGGGCGCGAGCGCCGACGCGTCCCATAGCCGGACGCGGGGGCCTGACTCGCACCCGACTGATCCAACTCGCGCGGGCGTCGGCCTGAGCGGAGACCTGCAGGACGCGCCGGGCAGCGCGGCACCCAGCTTAACGGACGGCTGCGGGAGCCAGGACGGACAGACAGACGCCACCAGGGCCTCGGCGGCACGCAGGGCCGCCAGCTCCCTCGGCCCCTCGCGCCGCAGGCCGCCACGGCACGGGAGCTGGCCCTCGGCGTCGGCGGAGGTGCCCCCAAGAGACGCGTCGGACTCGAGCGGGGCGAAGTGCCCTCGCAGGCGGCCCAGGTCGGCCACGGCCTCGAGAACGCGGGCCGACGCTGGCCCGTCGACGGCGGCGAGAATGAGCGACTGACCGACTGTCTTCCCGCGGCCCTTCGCCGCAGCCGTCGCGCGAGCGAAGGCTTCAGCCGCAGACCCCTTGTCTTCCGCGGCGGAAAGGGGCACCCCGCTTGAGCGAGCGCCCCCTGGCGGCTGCAGAGTCCAGCCTCGGGGCTGGGCGGGTACTTCCACTGCGGAGCAGCGGCGGCGCGCGCGCCAGGAGGCGACGAGCGGCGCCGATCGGGGCGGCGCCGCAATGCCAAACTCTGGCACGCCCTCTGGGCGGACGCCTGGTCAGTGCCCTCGCGCAATCCCAGCAGCCGACGGGCTAACTGACGCGCTGCACCCGTTCGCGCGGCGCGCGCGAACTGCTGCCCCGCCACGCGCTTCTATTTGGCCGAGCTTACGCGGGCGGCCAGGCGGGATGCTCGGCGGGGCCCACGGCAGCAGCGGCAGGGCCCGCGGCTGGCGGAGGCGCTTCAGCGATAGCTCCTCCGACCGGAGAGCGGCATCCTGGGCACCCGGGGCAACGCCTGTCACCCTGGGCAATCTTGGCCATCCAAGTGCAGATGCGCGGGGTGATCTCTCAAATCGTAGAACTAAGCTTGAACCCGATTCAACTCGCACGCGAATTGCAGAACGTCGACCAGCCTGAAAGCTCCCAGCGATTGGTCGCGGAAGCGATGCTGGATACCCCGTTGAACGAGTTCGCGCCGAGCTCGGCGGCCCACAGTTTCTCGCAGACAAGATGTTTGCGACTGGAGGGCCACTGGCTACAAATCAAACGGTTTTCTGGCGAACTGCGAGCGGCATGTCACGCCAGCAAAGAAGGACTTGGATGCTGCGAACGCGGCACTTCTGTCAATCGACGGGGTTGGCAATGAGCCAATAATGAAACTCGTCGGGGCGTGCTTCCGCGTCGAAGGTGACCGAAAAACCTCACGAAACGTTCTGGAAATCGCATGTTCGAAGAACGGTGGCTCAGAATCCTCGCCTTCATCTGATCGAGGACAAGCCGCCGACGAAGCTCCGTCGCCAGCCTCGGGAAGCCGCTGATCCAATGGCGAGTCTTGTCGATGTCAAAGCGGAACAAACAAAGATAACGAACACTTCGCTGTAGGCGGCGCCGATTGACGAGCATCGTGCGACGTAAGGCAATATGGCCAAAGAATGTGCTACGGGCTTGTTGTTCCAGCGCTCCTGCTCTCACTTTGACCAGCTGAAGTCCACGTGGGCCGCCAAAGACTTTGGGCGCCGACCTCTGCCGCAGAGCTTGTTTTCATTGAAATCTCCAGGTCGGTGATCTTCTCCCCGGACTTCAAGATTGCGACAAGCGGGGCCTCGACGCCGGACGCGTCGGCACGCGCCTTCCGCATCTCTCCGCGAGCATGTTCCTAGAGAGGTCAGCTGCGCGCTGGTAGTACGGTAGAGGGAAACAATTAGTGAACACCCCCCCTGCCCCCCAAACTCAAGGTTGGCACGCGCGGGGGAGACTGCGGTCGAGGTGCAACTCATCAGACTCACCGCCAACTTTGAACGTTGGGGGGAGGGGGAGGCGTTCACGGATGAATGTGGCATGAGTGTTCGCTATTTTTTCCGAGGCCTGTAGCAGACTCCATTGTCCAAGGCGTCCCTTTGCAAGCACATTGTCTTCGGCACCGCCTGATTCCGGGGCTTTGCCCCCTCCTGGCCTTGACGTGAGGCCCCTCCTTCTGCCCCCCCTCTTTGTTAATGCAAGCTGTGCGCGGCCCGCTTAGCTTCGACCAGAAGAGGTGCGCTCTCGACCCGCGAATCCAAAAAGTAGCAGACTCCATCGATCAGCGACCCAAAGATAGCTCACAGCGAGGCAGTGTTCACAGTCCTCCCGCGTCACCACAATGACGGGGTGAGAACGTGGCGGGCCTGCCCTCGGCCCACGGGCTCGGGCCAGCGGACTGCGGCCGAGCTCGAGGCGCTGAAGCGCGCGCTTCGAACTTGAGCCACAATGGCTGCGGACGGTGGAGGAGGAGGAGGAGGAGGAGGAGGAGGGAGAGGAAGAGGAGGCGGAGAAGGAGGAGGATGAGGAGGATAATGGGGGTAACGTGGAGAAGCAGCAGGACGGAGCAAGAGAGGAGGAGGAGGAGGAGGAGGAGGAGGAGGAGGAGGAGGGAGAAGGGGGAGGGAGGTGGAGGAGGAGGAGGAAGAGGAAGAAGGAGGAGGGAGGATCCCTCGTCCAGTTCGCCCCCCCGTCAGCCAAGGCCACCGGGGTCGGCTCGCGACGCGTCGCCTGTCTCAGGCGTACCGTCTCGCCCGATGCGGCATCGCATCCTCTGACGCGCTGCCTCGAAGCTGCTCGTCCTCTCCCGACCAAGACGGGCCTTCACCCGCGGCGAAATCCACGGAGGCAAGAGAAGAGGAGGAGGGAGGAAGGCGGCAGAAGGCGGAAGAAGGAGGAGGAGGAAGGAGAAGGGAGGAGGACGCAGGAGGAGGAGGAGGAGAAGGAGGAGGAGGATGAAGGGGGAGGAGGAGGATGAAGGAGGAGGAGAGGAAGGAAGATGAAGAAGGAGGAGGAGGAGGAGGAGGAAGGAGGAGGAGGAGGAAGGAGGAGAAAGAGGAGGAGGAGGATGACGGAGGAGAAGAAGGAGAAGCATGAAGGAGGAGGAGTAGGAGGAGGAAGAGCAGGAGGAGGAGGAGGACGAGGGAGGAGGAGGAGGAGCAGAGGACGAGCAGCAGCAGCGGGCGTATTTGAGCCCTGGGCCTGGGCCTGCGCGTAAACAAGCCGGTGGGAAAGCAGGCCCAGGCGCAGGATGCGCTCCTTGTAAGGCCTGCTGGGATGACGCACGCTCTGCACATCCTCCTCCTCCTCCTCCTCCTCCTCATCATCATCATCATCCTATTATTATTACTATTAGTGTTATTATTAGTAGTAGTATTATTAGTATCACTATTCGTATTCTTATTATTATTATTATTATTATTATTAGTATTCGCATTCTTATTCTTACTATTACTAGAATTCTTATTGTTATTATTATAATTATCATTCGTATTATTAGTGTTCTTATTCGTCTTCTTCTTCTTATTATTATTATTCTTATTATGATTATTACATATGTTTCTTATTATTAGTCGTATTCTTATTATGATTAGTATGAGTATTATTAACATTTTTCTTCGTATTAGTATTATTCGTCTTATTATTATTCCTGTTATTATGATTATTCGTATTATTATTGTGCAGGAAACAAGGTGTATATATATACATATATATATATCAGTGATTTGAGTGAGGATTGTTGTGCATGCGCTGTTGTATCATTTGTGTACTGTGGAGAGCCAGTTTGGGCTCAGTTCATGCTGAGGTGGAAAAGAGATTTCACCAGCCCTGTCGGGCAAGGTCCGTGAACCCCAGCTCCGCCACCCGAAGTTATCAAGATAACATACACTTATTAGTTCAGCAATTTCATGGTAGAGTGATTGGTTTCTTCTCCAGATGGCTGGTCTTGTGGACACGCGTTTGTTGGGACGACCGAACAAGTATTCAGGCAATCGAGATGAGTTCCCGACTTTCAGATATCAGCTGATCAGCTACCTTGGCGCGATCGACCCGAGGTTGGCATCAGCAGTGACAACGGCAGCTAACCACGGCACGGTCATCACGTTGACCGAGATGGGAGACGACAACAAGCAGCATGCAGCAACGATGGGATACATTATGTCAGAGTTGTTGGGAGGCAGCGCGCTCACCTTGGTGATGAACTGCGAGCAAGGAACTGGGTTGGAGCAGTGGGGACGACTATGCATGCGAGAAGATGCGGCGACAAGCTCCAACAGGGTGACGCAGCTGCAGCTGTTAGTGAATACAGACTTTTCAGGCAAGTGGGAGACCTACGTCGAAGAGCTCACGAAGTTCCTGTTGGATGTCAATCGGTATCAGGAGAAGTTTGGTGAAATGATCTCGGACACCCTCACCCAGGCTATGATCAAGAAGAACACGCCCGAGCCGCTCAGGACACAGGTGATGATGCAAACGTTCACTTCTTATCAGACTCTACGTGAGACCTGCGAGTCCTTTGCTCAGCAGATGAGCAAGCGAGACACGAAGACTGTCCAGAAGAAGTTCGACCCCAATGCCATGGACGTAGACGCCTTCGGCAAAGGTGGCAAGGGCGACCCCAAGGGGAAGGGCTACGGCAGGTCAGACACGAAGGGCGGCAAGGGGGGTGGCCAAAAGGGCGCAGGGGGCCGAGGCGGCAAGAGCGACGGCAAAGGCAAGACTAAGAGTAAGAAGGGTGAGGTGAAGTTCTTCGACGGATGGTGCTCTAACCCACACTGTGGCAAATATGGACACAAGATGGCGGATTGCAGGAAGTACGGAGGCGGCGCGTACCAGTCTGGAGAAGGTCAACGGTCCGTGTCGGAGGTCCAGCCAGGATCTTCACAGCTACCTGGATCGGGCACAGCACGTACGGCCCATCCAGGCGACTCAGCATCACAGATGTCGGTACCTACGCAGGCCACAACACGAGTGCCTGGACGGGTGCAGGCGGCAGTACTACCAGAAGACGAAGCGGGTTGGATTTTTGCGTTCACGGACGACCACGACGGGGACGAATGCGAGATGCTCGTTGACAGTGGAGCTCACACTCATGTCGTACCAAAGACTATGACGGATGGGTGCGAACTCACGGGCGAGCCAGGTCAGTCTTTGCGATCGATTACTGGAAAGGTTATACGGACATGGGACAAGCGTACGTTGACTGGAGAGGTTTTTGATTCGTATACGACGATTCGTGCGAAGCTCAATTTCGGTCGCGGAGAAGAACGATGCAGGTTATTCAGCACACGTTGACCCTGACGGAACCAAGATGTTCAGAAGCAACAAGAATATGCAGCATGAGATTGACAAAGCACTGGAGTCTACTGTTTCACTCCAGCTACGTCGGAAGGTGAATGCATTTCTTCTTCCAATGAGGTTCAAGGATCCGACGGGCGACGAGTCCATCATCGGGGACGTCGACGAGCAACCTGAGGCGGACGACGCACAGTTGAAGGAGGAGTCCGTCGAGAAGGAGCCTGCCGAGATGCAGGTCAGCAGTGGAGCGGCTAGTTCACGTGATGGCCCACGTGGCACCGCTGGCGGGGCCCCGGATTCGCTGGGGACGCCCGCCGCACCTAAAGAGGCCAGTTCAAGTGTTGGGAGAACTTGTCAGAGCGCACATTCGGAGAGGTCATGTACCTTTTCGAGGCTTGGCGTCAGGAGTGCATGATGGGAAGGGGGCAAGAAGACCCTCACCGCGCAAGGGATCCAAACGCATCGGCTACTCCAGTTGTCTCATTTGACTATGGGTTTCTCAATCTTGGCGAAGATGGCGCTGGTCACAAACTCACCCTGGCGGTGGGTAAGGACCGAAGGACTGGATACCTCATGGGAGTTGTTGTCGAGGCGAAAGGGAACCAGAGCTACGCCATAGCAGCCATCAGCGAGTTCTTGGACGAGCTGGGCTACGTGAGCATGGAGGTGCAGTTGGACGGCGAACCTGCACTGGAGGCCCTCATGAATGGAGTTGTTTCTGACCGCACCAAGAAGCTTGGCAAGGAGGCTGCAGAGGCTCAACTCCGAATACGGCTGGCTCCGAAAGGAAGCCATGCGTCTCAAGGAGGAGCCGAGAGTGGAGTCAAGTCTGTAGCAGGTCTTGCCAGGACTGGGCGTTTGGCTCTGGAGAGACGTTACAACATGAAGTTCACGGAGGATGTTCCCGTCATTCCCTGGATGATACGTCATCAGATATTCTGCCACAACAGATACCAGCGGAGGAGGAGCAGCGGTCGCACATCTTTTGAGGAGTTGAGATTGGCACCGTATACATCACCCATGCTGGAGTTCGGGGAGACGGTGATCGGTAAGGAGCACACTGAGCTGCAGGACAAGCTGGGCACGGCGTGGTGCAAAGGGATGCGGCTTGGACGCAGTACGAAGAGTGACGCTCACATCATAGGTACAGCAGCTGGGATAGTTCAAGCCAGGACGGTGAAACAGCTTACGAAGGAGGAGAGTTTCGATACGGAGATTCTCAGAGCTATGCGATGGACGCCGTGGAAGACATCGGTGAAGGCTGGAGTCTATGACGGCGAGAACTGGCAGCCAACGGAGGGACGTCCCGGGTGTGAGTACGCAGCAAAGGGTCAGCACGGACGTGGCCGACCACCACACCACAGCAGGACATGCCAGCAGCGTCGGGCCGAGTATGAGAAGACTGTTGCCAGCAAGACCGAGGAGCAGCCAAAGGTCGTCGTGGTTCCAGTACCCGCGATCAGCTCCGAGACAGGCCATGGCAATCAACAAGCACCAGCAGGGCCAGAGCCAACACAAAGTCGAGATCCAGTTTCGGAGGTCCGGCAGCAGGTGCATAGGATCGAGAGGAGGCTTCGTGGCAAGCAGGAAGCTCCTACCCCAGGACCGTCTAGCAAACGGGGAGCTGCTGACACAGACCTGGGTGAAGGCGGCCCTGGGGGCCCACCTGGCAGTCGAGGCCTGGTGGGAGCCATCGAGGACATGAGCACGGAGGACCTCAAGAGGCTTGCGGCAGGCTTCAGCACCGAGGAGATGATGAGGCTTGTGGCCGAGGTCGACAAAGAGACGAAGGACGACAGCGAGTTCAGCGTCGTGATGGGCTGGACGGAGGACGACGAGTGGGAGGCGAAGCAGTGCGAGCTGGATCGGTTCGACAACTACGACGTGTGGGAGCTCACCCTCAGGGACCCTCACGGGCCCAAGGCTCTCACGTGGACATGGGTCTTGGAGATGAGGAGTGGCGAGCTCAAGGCAAGGCTTTGTGCGAGGCCATTTGGCAAGCAGATCAACAAGAGCAAGAACGAGCTGTACTGCCCCACTCCACTTTCGTTTTCACTCAAGTTGTTCATGGTATACGCTATCGTGAAGGACTTTGCGATTTACTTCTTCGACATATCTCGAGCGTTTATGTATACACCTATTCGGGAGTTGGTTTATGCTGAGGTTCCGAAGGAGTACTGTCACTTACCAGATAGTTCAGATTGGGTTTTCAAGCTCAACAAGACAGTTTATGGACTCAACGAGGTAATGATAAATTTCGATGACCACTTCGAGAACATTGCTACAGGACGGAGTGATGAATCAAATATGACTTTCAAAAGGTTTCTGTCGGATCCGTGCACGTTCGCGGAAAGGACCAATCAGGTGGCAGTGTCCAAGCATGTCGATGACGGTACGCTGGTTGGGCCTAGAGTTTCAGCCAGCAGAGTTTTGGAGGAGCTCGGTACACACTTTCTGCTTAAGGTTTCAGAACTTACGGTTGGTGGTCCAGAGATCAAGCATCTTGGACGTGGCTGGCTCCGTACCCCCGACGGTACTCAAGTTCGCATGTGGCCTTCTATTGTGAAGAAGCTACTCGACTCTGAGCCCAATGATAAGAAGACGAGCCCACTACCTGGAATCAAGAATGAGAGGAAGGTCGAGAGCGAGGAGGAGTTGGACGCAAAGGCGGCCACGAGGTTCAGGAGCACCAACGGCCTCAACATGTTCGTTTGCTTAGAGAGGCCCGAGTGCCAGTACGCGGCGAAGGAGTGCTCGAGGGGGATGTCACGACCAAAGGTGCAGGACCAGACGAGACTTATACGCATCATCAGGTTCATTCGAGCTCATCCGTCGCCGGTGACATGTATGTACCCAGACAGTGGTGAGTTCAGAATCATAGGACGTGCAGATTCAAACTGGGCGGATGATCCAATCGGAAGGAAGTCTACCAGCTGTGGTCAGTTGTTTCTCAATGGAGATTTGATCATGCAG